AGACTTTTGAATAATTTAAATTGTATTTACAATTTTTAATATATAATTTCTATTACGAATTGATTAGAAAAATAAACATTTACATACCACAAAACCAACAACTTCGATCACAGCACAAGAAAAGGAGGCAAAATGGAAAGCTCAAGGAAATGGAGTCATGAAGCGTCTAGCATGGACTAGAGCATTAAAAGCTGCGTTTAAAATGGTCGATGTCAAAAGTAACTACTATTTCTGATTGGTTAATATCATAATTTAATAAATTGTATAAAAAATTATTTTTTTTCATTTACGTAATATGATATATAAAATAGGAAAGAAATTATAATCTCATAATAAAAAAAATATATTACATATTATATTGACATTAAATTAATAAATTATACAAATATATACACATAAGAACTAATAACTTTAAGTATTTGAAGCATTTTTCTTTCTTTTAAATTCAAATATAATTAAATAATTTAAATAAATTTTATATATTTAAGTTTAAATTATATCTATGTTTTTTACAAAATTTTTATTATTTAAAATCGATATAAATTTATTTGCATTTAATAATTTCTATTTCTGATATTTTTTGCTAGTATTATAGCTAACAGTGTTACACGTGCAATTGGTGTGTATACGATTTTTAATTTTTTGATTATGTATAGTAACTGAATATATATAAATTAAAATTTTTAATTATTATTAATCAATTATTCTTTTATTCAATTATTTATATTTTAGTATAATAAATATAATTTATAAATTATTATATGTCATGTCATATTTTTCTTTGTTGAATAATACCGGTAATACCCGGTGTTTGTAAAACAATACTATAAATTTTATTAAATATTGTATTTGTAATATATTTTTAGGATTCATCTTTTACATTTAATGATAAAGCATAATGTCAAGTCAAAGACCAGTTTCTTGTGGTCTTGACTTTTGTGCAGCACCAGATTTAAGTAATTGTCTTTTCACAGCAAATTCATCCAAGTAAATAATAAATTATGATTTATATTTTATTTATTATATTCTCCAATTTATTATTAATATTATTATTATTAATTTTCAGATATGAGTTTATATGTGTTCCACTTGTTCATCCATTATTTAAGAGAGAATTTGTTTCTGGAAATGCAAAAAATCGTACTGGTCCATTTACCAGACCAGACATAGTCTTATGTAGTTCTGGTAAGCATATTGAAAAATAAAAAAAATTTTAATAAAATTAATATTCTTACTTATTTTATAGATTGGAATACTTTAATCATTGGTAAATTATCACCATATATTAAAGTTGATTCAAAAAATCCTAGTTTAAAAAAAAACAGCGAAGAAACTTTAAAACAAGAATTAACTTTGGCAAGTCATTTAGGTCTTGTAGGAGTTACTTTTAAATTAACAAACGGAATAAAAGAAAATGCAAATCTTAGTAGAATTATCTGTGATAAGCTTTCAAGCACATGTAGTTTACAGGTATATTAATTTAATAATTTATATTATATAATTCATCATATGCTTGTAACATCTATTCATTTTATTACAGGTTTGGGTACAAATACCTATGGAAAATCCAATTAAACAAGCTTATTCTTACAGAGAAAAAGAATGTAGTATGGTAGAAAGTCCATGGGAATGGTGGAATGCCTTTAGAGTAGTTTGCGATTATAATAGAAAATTAGGTGTTGCATTAATTGTAAGTCATGATCTTCCTGATCAAGAAGAAGTATGTAAAAATTATTTTTTTGTATATATATTATTAATAATTAAAATATAAATGTAACAAAGTTGATATAATTGCAAGATTGATAGGTGGTTAGGTGAACCAGTTAAGTGTTTAATTTTTCCCACAACATTATTTATTACAAATAAGAAAGGATATCCTGTATTGAGTAAGGCACATCAAGCATTAGTCAAGAAATTTTCTTTGTTGGAAGTACAATTTATACTTACAGGACAGAATCGGTATCAAAATATTACTTATTATCATAATTATTTAGAATATTTATGGAAGGTAAAATTTTTTATATTTTTGATTTTAATTTTCTGATAGTACAAATATTTCTATTTAAATTTAATAATTTTTTATAGGATTGTGAGTCAAATGGACTAATTGAAAGATATACTCGGGGCTATGAAGATTATTTGCAATGTCCTTTGCAACCACTTATGGATAATCTTGAATCTCAAACATATGAAGTATTTGAAAAAGATCCTGTTAAATATACAAAATATCAAACTGCTATTTTTCAAGCAATTTCTGCCATTGTAGACAAAATAGAAGACAAACATAGAGAAATGTATTAAGTATATCATTATAGTTATAATTATAATTAATAACATAACTATATTTCTATAATTATAATTAATTAAATTAAAGAATGAATTATTAAAACCAAAATTCTATTTTAATGTTTAGTATAATAATGGTAGTTGGAGCTGGAAGAGGACCTCTTGTTCGTGCATCTTTAAATGCGGGAGAAAGAGCAAAACAACCGGTTAAAATATATGCTGTGGAAAAAAATCCTAATGCAGTATTAACGTAAGATTTAATAATCATATATTTTTCTATACATTAAACAGAAAAATGTAATTTAAAATTTATTATATATGTAGTTTACAAGCATTAGAAAAAGATCTTTGGGAAAATAAAGTAACAGTTGTATCTTGTGATATGAGAGAATGGAACCCTCCTGAAAATGCTGATATCATGGTATCAGAATTACTTGGTTCTTTTGGCGATAATGAACTTTCTCCAGAATGTTTAGATGGAATTCAAAAGTTTTTGAAAGGTTTATTATTATTATTATTATTATTATTATTATTAAATAATTATTAATAATTGTTATTATTTTTCATTTTTCATTTTTATATTTATTCTTACAGTTGATGGAATATGTATACCAACTTCATACACATCATATATTGCACCAGTACAATCATCTAAATTATATAATGAAGTAAGACAATGCAGAGATAAAGATAAACATTCTTTGGCTCATTTCGAGACCTCATATGTAGTTCATCTTCAAAATAAATACGACATAGCAAAACCGCAACCATTATTTACATTTAATCATCCAAATAACGGTTAGTAAATAATTATTAATATTATTTTTATTAATAATATTAATAATAATTAGTAAACCAATTATTTTTCAAATATTTTTATATTTTCAGCAAGTGTTATCGATAATTCAAGATATGATACAAAAATATTTAAAGTACAGCAAAATTCTGTATTACATGGCTTTTCTGGATATTTTGATACTGTTTTATTCAATAATATCACTCTGAGTATAGAACCTAGCACACATAGTCCTGGAATGTTCAGTTGGTTTCCTATTTTTTTTCCAATTAGGGTAAGATAAGTTTATATCGTTGTATCATTAAAAAAAGAAATATAAAATACAATTTATTGCTATAGGAACCAATACAATTAAAAGCCGGGGACCAAATAGTTGTTCATTTCTGGCGTTTATGTAATTCTAAAAATGTTTGGTATGAATGGTGCATTACCGAACCTATTCCAGGACCTATACATAATCCTGGTGGCCGTTCTTATACTATAGGTTTATGATTTAATTTTAATTTATACGATTAACATATTTAAAAAAAGTCTAATATCTTTCTAATAATTCATGATAGACTTGTAATACAAATATTCTTTATTACACTTTTTTTTAATAAAAGAGATTCAAATAATAAATTTTTAAATAAATATTGTTTATTTTTAAATAAATTTTGTTTTTTTGCTAAAAAGCTAATGTAATATTTTTTTAATTTAAATAATTATAGTAAATCCTATTTAAAAACTCTTTAAATTATTGTACTCTTATTGTATTAGAGAATTTACTTTTTTAGAAATCAAATATATACAAATTTAATATTGTATTGAAATATATTAAAAAAATATAACTTAAAACGCATCAAAATTTAATATTAAAAAAATATTAAAAGATATTAAAAAAAAATTTTCAAAAAAAAGCAGAAAAAAATTACAATAAATGTTCTTAAAATAATATTTAACATTCTTATTGTGACAGAGTCATATTACAATAATTTTTTATTAAAATAATTCTTATTATATTAATTATTATATTAATAATTATAATCTTATTTTCTGTTACATTAATAACATTGAAATTGAAATGATATATTATACGTTGAATATTAAAATGATAAAAAAAAAAAATCTGAAATTTCAAAAAATTTATAAGAAAATATATTGAAACCAATAATCTAAAAGGCAATATATAATTTCGCGTTCCATTATTCCAATTCCGTGATATTAGAATTTAAAATGAAAAAGGAAAATTGAATTTTAAAAAGTATATTCAAATGCAAAATTATATATAATAATTTTAATTAATTTATTTAGTTAAGTCCAATTCTGCATTTAAAATTTGAAAAAATATTAATATGTTCTTTTGTACTGTAATCTATTCTATATCTTATTTATGATTTCATTTTATAATTGAACTTATTTGTACTTATTGTCTAGGTACAGCTATCATGGAAGTCACTGTTATTGCACAAACTTGATAACATAAATTATATTATCTGCTGAATATGTTTCTATTGATCTTTTAACCTCACGTGATCATACTTATAACTTCAACATTTTTTATATATTTTTTTTTCATATGAATAAAAATACTTTATTTTTATTATCAAAATTAATAAATCGGAATTTTTCTATTTAAATAAAATTTATATTTATATTAACTAGTTATTTTTGTATATATTATGTAATTTTTTTTTAATTTTTTAATAAAAATTATGCAATACTTTTAAAATTTTTTTAAAAACTTTTCCTAAATAATTTAGATTAATTTAAACTAATTTCTCTTTTAATCTTTTATATTTTATAATCTCTTTTTATATAGATAATACAATTATTTATTCTTAGAAAATACAAAATTTATTCTTATACATATTATTTACATTGATACATTATTTATTAAATTGATTATCAAATTAAAATTAACAATTATAAAATATAAAATATATCTATATATTTTTATATCACTATATTCAATTCGTAACAGTTCGAATTATATGATGATGAAATGTATATTCTACGATAAGAATTATTGATAAAATAATATATGCTATTTCATAGAAATATTTTAATTCATTTAAATCACGCGTTTCGTTTATATGAAGCTCTACCAAGAAACTTTTCGTACTTACTTATATTAGTCGAGATTGAAACGTTCAAGTGCACGATAAAAATTTATTAAGGTTAAACTCTTCGATTGTTTTAAAATTAAAAAATATAACTCGATATGGCAAAAGTAATAGCACAAATGACAAAATATACTGTGAGAACATTTCCACGTATTTCGAGAAAAAGCTTATTTAATATTTCTGCTATAAAAATATCGTTACATGTTTCACGTTCCATCACTAGTACCCGTTGTTTAAATATCAGTAAGTTTAAAATATTTCTTTCAAACATTTGATAAAATGTATTTTATAATATTGATTATTATATTATATTATATTTTTAATATTTATAAACAAAATCTTAATATGTTTATTAATATTATATATAATTAACTTAAAATCATATTGAAATATTTTTAATTTGTAATAAAATATTATTAATATTTTATATTAAATTATTATAAACAAAATTTATAGAAAGATTATACACAGAAAAACACGAGTGGATAACAATTAATGGTAATATAGGTATAATTGGAATATCCAATTATGCACAAGAAGCATTGGGAGATGTTGTTTATGCTCAGCTTCCAGATATTGGATCTGAAATAAAAAAAGAAGGTCAGAAAATTCTAAAAATGTTTTTTAAAGTAAAAATTAAACTCAAATGTCTAATAAAAATTAATTTGTTTACAGCTGAATGTGGAGCTTTAGAATCAGTGAAAGCTGCTTCTGAATTATTTAGTCCTGTAAGTGGAAAGGTAGTAGAAAAGAATGAAGCAGTTGAAAAAACACCTAGTTTAATTAATACTTCTTGTTATGAAAAAGGATGGTTATTTAAAGTAGAATTAAGTAAACCTGACGAACTAAAAAGTCTGATGAATGAAGAAGCATATAATCTATATTTAAAATCTGATCCATCATGAATATAATATATTTTCTATATGAAAATATATTTATAATTATAAATATATTTATATAATATATTTTCTACATGAAAATAATTAGTAATGATTTAATTTTTATCATTTTCAATTGTTTATCATTAATGAAAAAAGTGTGAACATTCTTATTTATTTTAAATCTTATAATAATCATGCATGATGTTTTAGTAGTTTAACGTTATATTAGTCAAATGTGAAATAAGTACAATTTACAGTTGTTTAATTAAGTAAAAAAAAATAGTGCCTTTATAAATTATATTATTATAACAATTCAATATATTGTACTTCTGATTTTGTATCCTCAAATATAAAAAAATAATTTGTTTTAAATTTTGTTTTATATTGTAATAAGGCACAATTTTATATATAAGATTAGGCAATATGATTAATAAATTTAATATAAAAATGTAAACATTATGAATTAAAAATATGAAGATGTGTGCAGTAGTTAGCTGATGTCTTTATTAACCACTGTGCATTTTCTTATGTTGTTATCATATTTGTACAAAGCAAACAAATGTTTTAATATACATGTTATTCGGTATACGAATGACACCATTGTTACAAATTATAATAAACTTTGTGTTGTACATAAACGCATTTAAATTATAATAACTTGTATGTATAAAGAAATAATTGAATGTTTTGAAATACTATTTGTAAATTTTTGAAAATTGTCTGCTTAATAATTTATAGTACCATCCTTTACCCTCCTTTCAAAAACTATTGTACATTTTGTGGTCATTGCACATATTTTTATATAATAATACCAAAAACAGGAGTGCGATAAGGGAAATATTTTCATTTAATAGGAGTTCAATTAGTATAATATATAAAAATAGCGCTGTCAATCCTAAAAAGGAACAGTTATCAGTTAATAATAAAGATATATTTACAATTAATCATTTCTTTTCTACATAATTTACAATTGCCAACTCCTAATGGCAGTGTTAACAACGCATAATAGTTCATCATTTAATGTTAATTCCAATTATTTGTTGGATCAAAAAATCACATCGATATTAAATTAGATCGTTCGCCAATTATAATTGGTAACTGTACATATTTAACACAATTCTTATAACACCATTATTATTATGTATATTTCTTAATTACAATTATTAATAAACACTTTATAACAGAATCGAGCGGACGATTAAATAGGATGGATACATACAAAGTTCATCGTTTAGAGACATATATTTAGAAGAGACAATTTTCATTTTCGTTTTTTGAAATATTTTGTTTACGATTTCTGTAAGTTGTTCCAAAATTATCAGACCGACACGTTCTACAAGAAGTCTTGAATAAAGATTTGAATGAAAATGTAATAAATAAAATATTAATTGATTTTACCCAAACAAGAACACAACATAAATAGGAATTTTAAAGACTTCATTGATAATTATTAAATTTCGATCGCATATATCATATAGAAATATAATCTAATTTGGAATAAACACAATAATAATTAAAATAGTTAATATGAAAATATAATGGGTACAATACTTGAATGGAACCTTTATATTATGTCCATGTACGCATATTATAGAAATTGTAGAGTTTAAGTCTACATAGGTAACATTCATATATTTCATTTAATTTGCTATCTGGGTGTCTATTCTGAGGTATGTGGTTTACTAAAAATGTAAAGGTGTAAGACTTAATACAGTTATAAAGAGGTAGACATTTATATGCGAGTTAAATAAAATTAATCCATTAAAAAATGAATAATAATATAAAGTATCTTTTCAATTGATCAATCAATTAAAAGAACCAGACGATTTGAAAATTTGGGAACATGTCAATATATGATTTGTATTTATATCGAAGATTTCAAAAATTTTACCATGGACATAAATCTTTACTCACACGATAAGTACATGCAAGCTTTCGAAAATATATATATATATATATATATTTATATATATATCTTTCACGGTAGTAATACTCGCAGCTACTCCTCCTGATTTGATTCAACACTCGATTCTTAATCTAATGTGGCATCGAGTTTTTTTTTTACATACATCAACAAATTATTTAAATCTATACTTAATATCTTATATCGAAGTCGGTGGAAAAGTGAAAGTAGTAAAATAGCATTTTTCCCAGGTACTTCTTTGATAGAGGATATAAACAGTAGGAGTTGCAAAGGGTGGTACTACCAGCCTACCAGTACGAGCAAAGATTTCTGTTCCTGTTGTCACACTTGAGCCTCGAATCTAGCACGTGTAATTACCGATGGCTTAGATACCACAGGCGTCGAAAAGACAACCTTCACAGCACTGAAAAGTTTCTGACTATTGACTAAACAATAATAATCTATTAGTGAAAAATTACTACGTTCGATCACTATCTTAACATTCAGTAAATATTTCTATTTAACAACTGCGATAAGACAATATTGATCTTATGTACTTAATATTAATCGCTAGATAATGTAGGACCACATAAACCTTGCTCCAATGATTCTTTTATTTCTTAAACAGAATCTTTATTACGATACAATATACAATAATAAAATATCGCAATCTGTGGTTATTTTTTTCCGCCACCTATTTGAAAAATAATAAAAAGAAATACATGAATAAAAATCTAAATTAGTGAAGACATTAAGTAGCTAATGATTTTTTTTCTCAATAAGCAACAGAAATATATTTATTTCATTAAACTATACACAAAAATATTATAATTACATATTTAACATGATTCACTTTACAACATAATTGGAATGTGTTAACTAGTATTTACAATATAATAGCCCTGCCGTGTGCAAGTGTGACAAAATGCAGATTTTTTTATAGGAAGTTCTAAGGATGCCCAGGTGGCCGTGCGACATATATATATGTATATATGTTATATATAAGTATATCACATGAAATTTTACTGTCATTCAAGTATGCCCATTGAATCCCTTGCAGAAGCACGATTGACTGGAGAGTCGACAATTTTTTTCGTTCGTTACCATTAGGATTATCTTTTTGTTAAAATGAGAGCAAGGCTTCAGTGGTATGTGCTTAAAAATAATCGCATCTAGTATTAGAAAAATAGCTTTACTTATTTAGACAAAAATTGCCTGCCCTTTAACCAATATTTTGTTAACCACCCTTTGTACTGTTTTCAAGGCATCTTGCTTACTGTTTCCCTGCGCTTGTACCCACCAACAGGGGTAATAATTCTTCATGGATACATCTCTAAAACTTCAACATCAAATATAGAAAATATATGTCATTATGTTTATATATTTAGATACATTTTATAATACATATATTATGTATATATGTAAATTATGTACGTCTATACTTGATTCGTTTGCATAGGTATTTTTTGAACCAGAGCTCCTTAACTTGGTCCAACACCTAAGCATTAGTATATTAGCTCTTAATAGGTACTTGAGGTCCACATTGACAATAAGGAGCTCTATCTTGATTTTTGAGATATAGCAATAGACTAATTCATGGCAAAAATGCCAAATGAATTTATCGTTTCATTTTCTTTTAGCATGAAGCATTTCCATAAGAAGAGTTTGAGTTGGTGCTCCACCGCTACAATGTTTTTGATAAAGATGATCTTCTCCCCTGCTCGCTACCACGTGGATTCCTGGTAATACTGCTAGCAGCTTGTTAAATTTATCCTATTATATAAAATTTAATTTATATATGTGTTAAAATGTACAAAATTTTATGAAAAATTTAAAAAAAAAAAAAATACTAATGAATAAGGTCAACATACCGGTATAGAAGGATAACACGTCAATGTATAATCCAAAAGAGCTTGTTGAACTTGTTCGTGACCTTCTTGTACATGTTTCTTGTTAACTAATCCACGAACTTCTGTATATTTAAAAAATAATGAATCAATCAACTTTATATATCAATGATAATTTGATACATAAATATATTGATATATAGAGATTTAAAAGTAAGGAAAATTGAAAAAAAAAAGCATACCATGATTGAGCAGCATCAAGAATTTCATGCATATATAGTCCGAAAGATCGAATTTGAGTTCCTGAAGTTTGGACGATAAATCATTGAAAAGATCTGCCAAAGAAGGAACCCCGAGTAGGCCGAGACAAAGGAGATCAAACTTTTGACCATTATGAAGCGTAGTCTCATCAGGTAGATTATTGTGTAACCTTTGATGAAGATGATCGAGCACCAACATATCTGACCAGGAGTGCTGTAGCAACTTCATTTGGTCATCAACCTGTCCAAAAAAATATTATAAATTATAAAAACATATAGAACATATATATTAAATTAAAATGGAAGAATTTTATTATTTTTCAAAAAAATTCAATTATTATCAAATAGATTTTCATTTATAGCATGGAAACATTTTGAAAACAAATTAATAAAATTGATAAATTAAAAAAAAAAATGACAAATTTGAATGTTAAAAATAACAATGAAAAAAGCATAATTACTTATGAAAAAAAATCATTTTAATTTGTATAAGATACAATTTAATAAAAAATAAAATATTGATATATTGCTCCATATTGTTTGTAAACTATAAAAGCAAAAAGTATAGATGAAATTATGATAATACTTTTTATAAAATTTATAAGTAAAAATATAATAAAAACTATATAATCAGTTAAATAAATAATTTATAATTAACATGGGCCTGCTTTAGGATAACCGCCATAACCCAGAAACGTATCTTGCTATGACCTAGATATGAGGCGATGCTTGAAATCATTCAGTGATTGTGCAATGCTGTTGGTTACCTCACATCCCCGTTCATACCACCAACAAGCCAGCGCGGAGTTATTTATCGGTAAGAACTAACTTCTCTTGAAAAATATTTTCATCGATGGTTAAAATCAATTTTGATAAGCTATATAATATACATGTTTAATATATATAGCACTAATTTATGTATGGCACTAAAATCAGTTGATCTAAAAAATAGTCGATACACAAAAAAATAATCGATAATATTTAATTCGATAACCAAATACATAGTTGACAAGTACCATAAAATAATGCATAATCAAAAAATAAATGATATGTGTACAGATCAAAAGATTGCATCGCTAATCCTGCTATAAGTTTTGTTATAATAAATAAAATTATATAAATATGTAATAAATGTAAAAAAAAATAAGAAACATTATAATTTATGATTAATTTATAATTTATTAATATATAATATGTAAGAAAAAAATTCAAGAATTTAATTTTGATATAAATTTACAAACATTACTTACAAGATTACCGATCAATGACCATAGCGACACGCATGATTTCTAAAGATTTAAATTATTGGTTTCATCAAAATATGATTTTTTTCAATTCATTTTTTCATAATTTTATATATCAATTTAATCTTTTAAGAATCTAATATACGTTTTATAAACAAATTTCTTTGTTATTTTTAATAATTTTCATTTATAATCTTTTCTATAATAAATTTGAAGAGGACAAAGTTTGTTGTTTAAAGTTTACGACAAGATTAAATGAAATATATGTATTTTCTTCTCTATTATAAAATGATTTTTATGACGTTTAAATAAATTCAGATCTATATTATACGATACAATATCATATATATAATATATTTAAAAACGATAAATATAATATATTTAAAAAAATATTGACACAAACCTTGAGATCCTTGAAGAATACAGAATTCCTTGCCCAATCCACCTGAGAGAACAAATTTTGATCGAGCACTTTGCACATTAATTCGAACAAGTCCACTTCACACTGATTGTACGTTTGATTTTGTAATAATCCAAAAAGCGATGCCTGCCACTCGCGATCGTCGACTGTTTGCACAAAGTCTCTTATCATCGGACTAGTTTTCAACGTGGCGGTAGAGGGTGCGGAACCAGTGGCTCCATGAGATTGTGTGGACTGTTCGCCGAAGTTGAAGGCCTTCGGACTCGGGGTGGTGGAATTGGCAGCCCAGAGTTTACTAT